GGATCGTCAAGAATCCTGATATATGATCATCGTTCTGAATTTGTCGTCTGCATTTTCATTCGCATTACTGCCGTGAAGAGTTTGATGATCATGAAGCACAGCACGAAACGATCGCTGTTGACAGATATCCATATGCGGGGCCTCCCTGGGATTCCAAACGACGAACGTACAACCACAACTTATATAACCATTTTCTACAAGACATGCCAAAATGAGGGTACGTCCCATCACATTCCCATGTGTTCTTGGGCAAGCTCACCAGGGCACATATTTGAGCAGTTGATCCAGTCTGAGGCCCCTTCCACCGGCTTCCAAAACCACGAAACAAATGTTGACCATTTCTGCAAGCCCTCTGGTACTTCCAGTTCAAACAAAACACGATTGAACACAGACACAACCACATAGACAAATAGACAGACAAGTAGATAGGGGGCAGATAGATAGACGAGAGACAAACACAAAATAGATGGATATGTAGATAGATACGTATATAGCTAAATGGATAAATAACATAGAGAATAGATGGATGGATAGATGGATACATAGACGGATGGATGGACTGATTGGACTAGATTGGAGTGGATGGGATGGGATGAGACTACATAGATACTAGTCACCAGCTAAACACATGGACATTCACCATCATTAACATTTACATGTATACAAATATACGTACATTCACACACACATACATACAACAAACCGTTCATGTTAAACACCTCCCAGAAAGCATGATGGATGTCGGGGATTTTGATCGATACATACATGGGGACCATTACAATGGTTGATTTTTAAGCATATGACTGAGCAAGGGATCGAATTAGGGTATTCTTGTCTGATATCTACATGGTGACTGTTCTTTATTTCGGAATTTAAAAAATTACCAACGTGGGCATTTTTTATGGGGTATCATTTTTTGACATTGATCTAAGTGGTTTATGACTTATATCTTCTTCAATGTTACTCATGGATTATACATGGATTACAACTTTTATCAACTGGGAAATCCCCCATAAATGGAAGTTTCAAGATTTCAAAAGGAAATTCATCTATAATTGGACGATTTTCCATTGCCATGATGCAATGTTTGATTAGCCGCCCGTAGTCACGAGCAAGCTCTATAGACGGGGTCAGTTGGACGAAAAAAAGGGCAATGATGGGCAATGATATAAGATGCCGGCCGAGAGAGAAAGAGAGAGAGAGAGAATTTGATATTAGCAACTTTTCACACTGATATGGATTTTTGACCAACTGGGAAATTTCCCAAAAATATGGAGCTTTCCACAACCCACTCTCGGCCCCGCCTTCAGATTTGCTTCGCCCAAGGGTCCAACTTCTGCTGCACCTCCCACGTCACTTCGTCGAAGAGCCGATCAAAGACCTGGAGTTGTTCCTTTTTTCAGTAGGAAACCCATCGGAAAAAACAGCAAAAATGAAGGTTAAGTATGTTTTACTCAACGCATATCAACAAAAACGGGAGTGTTGTATGGGCCTCAAACGTTCTTCCACCGGTGAACATGAGAACCAACAAAGATGGAAGTTTTTTTTCATGTTTGAATCGCTCTTAAGCTCCAAGGGTCAAAACTGAGGATAAACATGGGTGCTTTAAGCATCTCGAAGGGGCTAAACCTTGAAAAGTGATATGAATGCAGGTAGCTACATGTATCATCATCTATATACCACTATCATCCTTGAACTCAGGGGGTACATGGATAGAATGGGGACTCCTTCCAGGTTTGGGGAAATTCACTGATCAACGGAATCAACGGGATCCAGGTGTCGCCAAAGAAACTGATCGCTGGTTCTCGTCTTTGTGCGCTTCCAGCACTTTCTCCAGCATTGTCCTTGGTCAATGAACGCACTGACTATCCAAAATCAAGATGTGTTGACTCAGGGCGGCCAAATCAACCTGCTGATGTTTTTTTTGGTGGCCAGTTCACTTTGTGTTCACCGTAGTTCGGCCAAAAAATTTTACTCAGCCTCTCTATCTGCTTCACTTAAAATCACTTTTACTTGTGCAAAGGCCAGGAGTCCAAAGGCGGTCAGCAGGTTTGAAGCCAAAGTTCCAGAACATGGTCCTTGGGGCTGGATCTTGTTATTATAGATCTCAGAATTGGATGATGCACACATTTACAGAAAAAAACAGAAAACACTCATATTTCATGGTAAGGACCCAGGAGTCCTGTAAATTTTCTCTTCAACCAACCGTGTGAATAATGTGAATAAAAACTTGCAAACTGTTGGGGATGGCCCGCGATGTCCGACAAAAATTACCGCAAGCCAGACTACGATCTATTTATTCTTGGAGCCTCTGGTTTTGGAAACAGCAAAAACCTTGGTGTACCCCGGTTGCAAACTCAGGGTTGTAAGATGTTGTAAGTTTGAGTAGCCGGGTGCTGGCTACAGCCTGTAGCCTCTGTAATCATTAAAAATACCAAAAAAAAAAAACAACACTGAGGGGGCGAAATCAGCAACAAAAGGGAAATACAACATACATTGGTGGATTCGCGGTTTTGTTCCTTGACGGCATGTCTAAAGAACGGAAAATACGAAAGGACAAAGTGCAATCTGTGAAGGAATGGAAAAATACAAACAAAATATACAAAAATAAAGTGCATTTTTGGAAGTAATGCAAAATAAAAAAATACAAGAATACTAAGTGTATTTTTTTGTATTTATTTTGTTTTTTTGTATTTTTACAAACAAAATACCAAACATACGGAAAAAAACAATTATATAATACGAATGCAATTTCTCAAAAATACAAAATACAAAAAAAACGTACCAAAAAAAACAAAATACAAAATACAAAAAAAAACGAACCCAAAATTTCAAAAATACAAAATACAAAAAAAAATGCGAATTTCAAAATGAGCCAGAGAGCCAACCCCATGTTCATTTTGAAAAGCAAGAACCAACTTGCAAAATAAATGCAAAGCCAACCTGTTACCCTGCAATTCAGATTTTGTATTTTTGAGTTGTATTTTTTTCGGTTTTTTGGGTATTTTCAATTCTTTACAGAAGACCCTTCTGTAGCCAACGCAGTCTACTCAATTGTAAGTCTTAAGCTCTCCAAGTTCGAATTTTTGTTTGGGACACAGTATATCTCTGCATCTCACCTCTGCGTTTTGTTCTGTGTGATCCCACATGTGGTTTCGCGCTGGATGAATAGACAATCGTTGGTGGGTAAATCTATTGGAATATAGCGACCGGCTTACACTTAGAACCACATTTTCCAAAATTTTGGAGCAAACAGTAAGAACCTCCCAAATTTCAGGTTCTAAGTGTTGATTTGTTAAAAAAACAAAAACAAACACTTAGAACCTCCTTTGGGGTTATGTTTGCTCCAAAATGTAGGTCGGTCACTCTATGTGGACAAACACATATAAGACATACATATATATATAAATATATATATATACAAATTTTATAAAACACATATATCTGTATATAAAAAAAATATCGTATAATAATTATGAATAAACACATGAATACGAAAATGAATATATATATATATTTATATGTATATAATATATAATATATCATGTTCGCGTGTGTGCATATGTGCATGCAGTGCATGCAAGCATTGGGATGTTGCACTGCAAGATATGTGGCCGTATTCCTTGGGGAACCTAACACTTAGAACCTCTGCTTGCTTGGCCCTGTTTTCTAGGAGCATCAAGTATCACATTTATTGATAGTTTGAACCTGTTTCCAAAGATATGTATATATACAATATAGATATATGTATATATATATATACATACATGTGTGTGGGTGTCGTGTGTTATTTTGGTGTTTTTCAGATTCATATTCAAGAAGCAAAGGTTCTAAGTGTTAGGTTCCCCAAGGAATACGACCACACAAATCTTGCAGCGAAGCATCCCAAGTTGTGTACACATTTCTTTCAATAGCTGTTTGTTTGTGATTTTTCCATACGTACATACATACATGCATATACATAAGGAAGTTTCGGCATGGCTGCGGAATGCGGCAGGTGCCTTTAAAAACAACAAAAACTCGGAGAAACCTTAGAGAAATGTTTAAAAGAGCAAGCCCCAAGATAATTTCACCACAATTTTCTTCGATGATTGTTAGATAGATATACTTAATTATATATATATATATTATATTATATTATATTATATATATGTAGGGCGACCGACTTTCACTTTATAAGCTGGATATATGTTAAAATTGGAAAAATTGGGAAGGTTCTACGTGCTAATGAAAACTATCATGATGTGGTTCTAAGTGTTGACTTGTTTGGGTTCTAAGTGTACACTTAGAACCTGGACGATATCAATTTGCCGCTATTTGTTTAATCCTAAAAATGTGAAGCAACTAATGTAAGATAGGCATAGGATGGTATAGGAGGTATAGGTTCGAGTTTTCCCATCCCAAGAGGAATGGCATTTCACCGGGGCATCCAATGCCCGCCGCTCCCTTCGTGCGCATCCAAGGGGCTCAAGGCCTAAGATCCAGCTGGGTCTGACGTCAGATCTTGTGAGTTGCCATGGGGGACTCACCCCAAAGTTATGGGAAGTCAAAGAGGGGGAATGGTGATTAACTAATAAATATTAGTTAACAAACATTGATGGTTAATAATTGTGATTAACTAACATTGATTAACCTAATTATTAACCATCAATCAACCATCAATGATTAACATTGATTAATCGATTAGCCATCAAGTAACCATGGGGATCAGTTATTTTCAGACAAACCCATGATAACCCATGTGCTTGGCTTGGTGCTTCGAAGCTAGTTATATATAGTCACAAGCTGGCTCTGCATGCAGTGAGAATGACATGGCGAAAGTTCCAAGACCCTGCCCATCCCTGCCCTAAATCTACAGTAAACACATACCCTTTGGCAATTTAGCATTTTGCTATGAAAATATGGAGCTGACTACTATTAGAAGGTAATATAGGTAAATCATCTAAAAATGGGCCATCTAGACCAGAGCGAACTGCTAAATTACCGCTTGGTATATCCACTTACAATGCACCAAACTTTCCTCCCAATGTCTTTGCAGCATCCAGTCCGCGGCACCATGCTGAGAGCAAGCGAACTCGCTCCACATGACGCAGGGTTTGGACTGGTCTCCAGACATGAAACCCTTCTTCGGCAAGTAGAAGCTGCCTTCACAAACAAATCCAGGGTTCCAGGGTGGTGTTCATCCAGTGTTGGGGGATGTTGGGAGCTGGATGTCATCCAGGCTGACCCGGTGCCCAGGGCATTTATATAAATGGGAATGTCATCCAAGAATTTGGGACTGTCCATTGCCATGTTTAAATCACATGGACAATCAGCTGTGTCATTGTGGTTTGTCGTAGTATTGGCACTCTCCAGGAGATACATTGCTTCCACTGTTTGGTGTGAATCAAAGCCCCCAGAATTCCAGCGTTGACGACCAGCCAGAAAACTGCTCATCGGAAACGTTCATAAACCCCGTTTTTGGCGGTTTCTTAATATTGAACCATATTGAACCATAAAATTGAGGGCGTTAAATCTGAAGGCCACACCCGAAAGCATCTTCTTGCCGCAGACATTCATGGCAAACCTTAGGCCCCCCATAGAAGCGCCATGGGATGTCAGACATCTGTCCATGAAACAAACCCGAAGATGAATCTATTGACCAAACTATTGAAGTTTCCCAACTGAATTCCATCTCACCAATGCGTTCACCAACCTAGTATTCATGTCAAAATATATACTATAGTGGTTGGTGGTTTTAACCATAAATATTCGTCAATAGGAAGGATTATCCCATATACTATGGAAAATAAAACATGTTTGCAACTACCAACCAGGTATATTGTTTTCCAATTAAAAACAGTTATTAACCATAGATTAACCAGGAATTTTCATGTATAACATGTTCCTAACCAGCACGATCCATGGATCGTGTGTTCATACCGCCTGTCATGGAAGCCCCGCATGGTCCCCACCTGGAGGGAACCACTTGTGTTTGCAGGTCCATAGGCAAGCACCACATCGCCTTGACGCACGTCACAAGGTGAACAAATAATGATATCAGCCATCATCTACATGTTCACACACACATATAATATATGTGTGTATGCATGTATGTATCGAAACGTATCTGAACACTTGCAAGCATTTACATGTGTCCATACATACATGTCATACATATATTTCTAGTATACATATCTGATACATCTAAACCTACTGTCCAAAGAGATGTGTATGTACAAATTATGTAATCCAGGAATCATAGACGAAGAAACCTCGACTGCTACCCGAAGTACAGGTGATCGATTGGCACGTCCATGGCTTACTGAACAGAAATCTCACATGTCGCCATACGGATGCATGTGCGTGTGCAAATGCATGGATATCTTATATCTAGATGTGCAAGTATCAGTGTAAATTGTACATGGTGTATCACCACTAGTGATGAGTTTCAACCCTTACGAGCAATGAGATGAAATGGGCGTATCCATCATGCTTCACCATCCAATTAGCATCCACCAAGCCGAGGGTCTTGGACGAATGCAGGTAGCACTGATTGCCAGGATTTTCAGTGAAGGCAGAGTACATGTAGAAATCCTTGGGGATGTGACCATTGGGACTGCGTGGCTCAAGGCGCTTCAAGCGGGGGCTGACCCGCAGCTGGGATCAATAACTAGTTTCAGCACCTCCTTGACGCATTATAATTTCAATTGCAACCACGAAGAAGCCGGGCCATGTGATCCAATAACTTCTGATTGGTGAATCCAACCAATCTATAATATATATATATATACAGTACGTATTCTTTGATTCTCCATTGCAAATTTCATGCAAAAAATGTTGCCACATGATACTACATGTGTCATCTACTTAAAGTCTTGAACCACCAGGTTTTTATATAGTTCTTCCCATGTCCCGAATCGACACGGAAAGACCTTAATTTCAATGGCAAGGAGCCAGGAACACACTCGCTTTCCACGATCGAGAGGCCAAAGTTTGCCCCAGCCATATAGCTAGGACCTGAGTTTCGTTCAAATACTTTTCTCTCTCTCCATCGCCCTCTCCAGGACTTCAGCATCTTGCTGAAGGCGAGCCGAGGACAGCTTGGCAGTCAAATCCTTTGGAAGGGGCAATTCCCTTGTTAGAAACTCGAGAAAATGAGGGTGTGATGTTCCTACTAGAAATTGTGGTGCCTATTGCAATGCTTCTGTCAATTTCAGGGGGCTGGGCGGCCTATATATTCTATTTGCTTTCACCTCAAATTTCATGCAAGCATATGCAGATTTAACCGGGGAGATGCGTGATAGATGTGATAGGAGTTTCCAAGAACACCATCCCAAAAATGCAAATGATATCAAATGATCTATACTTGGGCCATGTTCATTCCTTTTAGACAGATTTCCGGTATCCCTTGGTATCCCTTGGGCACCCTTGGTATGGGACGATGGCGGCCCTTCACAAGGCACATCCAACTGGGAATCGCCAAATCGATGCCCCGACATCCAGGGGCCACTGCCCAGAGAAGCCACCTGAGCTGATCAAAGTTTTTATGGCGTTTTCCAGCCCATGTTTGGATACCGGAGGGTAGTAAGTGGCTAGGAACCCTGGCTAATAAATCCTCGATTCGTGGGTTATATATAACTCGGTTGCTAACTACTAACCGTTACTAACCACTTACTAGGCGGGGTATAATTTTCGAAGCATATACTCTGTGAATCTTGTTGATCCCCTGGTAAAAGTTAAACCTTTAGTGTGGGATAAATGCTGCACAAATCATCAGGATGAGTCTATGGCTAAAATCTATCCTGTAGAATCCTCGCAAAATCTCGCAAATAAACAGTTTTTACCGGACCCACTCACACTTATATATATATATAGATATTTATTTATTTATGTATATGTATATGTATATATATATATAATCATATATGTACATTCCAAATAATTTTATAACTGGATTATTTCATGTATTTACATCACCCCTGAGGATTCCTGGCATACAAACCCTGGAGACATCTACTGAATGTGAAATTCCTTGATCTCTTTGGCTAAAACTCGACCTGCAAACCTGACAACCAAGATTTACCCACAACATGGCTACTTCTCTGATGCAAGTCAACAATTTGTGCAGGACATGTCAGGCTTAGGGTTGTCTTGGTAGAATGTTAAGGAAGCAAAGTGGAGTAGTACATATCAATTCTACGAAGGGCATTAACAATTTCCATGGAACTCCTGTGTCCAGAACATTCCACAAGACTGCTCGCCTCTAGATACGGCAGGCCCGGAGTCAAAGTCTTCAATTGTCATCTCAAAACTACTTTAACGAATATCAGGGAGGGCCCAGCAGTTGTAAGTTCGTTTATAATCCGATCCAACTACAAACGTATCAACCATGAACCCTTAAATGTTCGCAAAATCCCACTAACATAGGGACAATTTGAAGCTTTTCTATCTTCTTGTGGGTTGCATGGGGTTACTATACTGTATTAGACTTTTAAGAGAACTTGGATTAAGTACGGGGAACCCTTCCGGCGGCCCAGCGGCAAATTTGGGCATCTGATCTCTGAAGGTCGGCGGCAGAGCATCCAAACTCAAGGCCTCGGTTCCCCCAAGTCTTGCCTCCTTCCAAGCCATTGAGGATGGAAAAGCACCGAAAAAAAAAAAAACAGGGAAGGAACTGAATAAAACTTACTATATAACTATGACTGACTAGGAAATCCCATCACCAAGCAATTCACATTTAAAGCATGCTTAGGTTAATATGAACAGGGCTTATGATATCGTATTGTGAATGGGGGGAATCGAAACACCACCAACAGTTTCAACAGGGGTCACTGAACTTGGGGGGTCGAATCCCAATAAATGTTGCGCAAGACTCATGCTCGGCTGAGCTGAGAAATATATTAACTTCAAGGAACACGCCAGTGCGGTTGGGTTGTTACCTAAAAACAACGGCATAAAGCGCATGTATCTTTTGTCAACAAGAAGCAAGGATAGATGGCATGCTCGATGGGATGCTAGAAACCAGTAGTTAAGCAACAATATTAGCCATATTACAGTATTTCTGTGTTTACACCGTGCGAGTACGATCGATCATCATACACATGACGGCATCCATGCTAACATCTTGGGTAAATTGCCAAAACACGCTATTAAACTGGCGTGTAGGATGCCGGATGTGACTGTTAAATGCACAGGCACTTCAATATATCGTGTAAAAGTCATCCCTTCCCCCAATACTATATAAATATTCCCAGTATGAGATCCCCAAACAAAAAGAACCAATGATTCCTATGTTTTTTCAAACTATGTTTCAATGTTAGAGAGACCATATATAATATATCATCCAGATCGTTCTCAAAAAATCTATCGCATTGCTCAACCTCCGCACAGGGGATTGCCAGGACAGGCCAGGACACCTGGTACCATGCCATCACCTGCGGGACACCCCCTCACTCCAAATAGCAAACACTGAACCCACAAAAATTCAAAAGGCTCCCACAGTTATAAATACTTAACCCCATTTATGGCATGTATAATCCCATGTATGACCAGTTTTAACTAATGGCCATGACTGCAACATGTTCACGGTCAAAACCCCTTCAGCCCTGCAGCCGCAAGCCCTGCCCCAAGCGGCCCCGAACCTGCTGCTTAAAAGAGTTGGGTCCATGCACTTGTCGTTGCGCCAGGGCCCGATTTTGTCGCGCCTCCTTCAAGTTGTCGAAAGATGCCTGCCGATTTGAACCCCAGCCGAAACAGAATGAATGCATATGCTCATGCATATAGAGTCCATATGGATACATAGATATGCAATGATATGCATTTATATGGTTTAATAATTTTCAACAAGATAAATAAATCATAGATTATGATTATGTAGACAAATGCCTGCCCATAAGTAAAATATTATGTACAAAGAAAGCCCCTTGGAATGATAATCCCATGGTGGAAGCAACCAACCAAACCAGTAACTTTTCTGAACTCAAATAGGGGGCGATGTTGCTGTGGATCAAAACTTCACAATCTGAAAGCTGAACAAATCCACGGTTTGCCGTGGCATCGGCAGACCCAAAGAGAGGCAAGGAGTCAACTCCATTCGCAGGGGCTATCAAGGATGACCACGAGCAAATATTAACTCCACTGTGACTATATCATGTGTGGCAAAACCTGATGCAAATGACAAACCTGATGCAAATGACCAGCAAACCGTTGCCCCCTGGCCACCAGCGCTCTCCAGCCTCTTCCCCCTTTTCCAAATAAGTTACACCAGAAAAAATATAGGTGCTAATATTGATCAAACACTCCCTCACCAACTTGGCCCCAAAATGAACCAACATGAACCACCAGCAAAGGCCGCCCCCCGCTCCAGTTTCAATTTTTCCACTGCAGTCATTGGCAGGAGTTTCCGCAAATATTCGTCGTAGATAACCCAAAGGGTTGGGATTAACTTCCCTGCAACGTCCACTTGGACCCATTCCCTTTTCTTCACATCACCTCAGGGCAAGTTATCATTTACCTACAGGCGGTACGTCGTGTATATGTTATACATTTGACAACAAACTCCGTTATAATTATATGCTTCGTTAAACCCAGACAAAATATGCATGCCGATTCAGCTATTTTTGTGAGAAGGCACCGCACCAGACCACCAACCCAAACAACCAGCTAACCATTGTGTGGAACCATATACATATAGATAGATAGATAGATAGATAGATAGATAGATAGATAGATAGATAGATAGATAGATAGATAGATAGATAGATAGATAGATAGATAGATAGATAGATATACATATACTCTATATATATATATATAAAATGTATATACAATGCAAATATATATATATATTTAAACAAAAACAAAAAAACTTCCTAAAGGGGAATCCAAAATGTACACATCATATTGTGTGTTCATCTATCTTGGACGAAATCTTGGCAACAGTTGGTGCCATTGATTTGTTTATGGTGTCATTGAGGGAAGAATGAATTTGGTATATTTTGATTGTTGGCTTTATTGATGAGGCAATTGAACTTATTGCATACATTGTGTCTTGACATATGCTGTATATCTATATATTACGCATTGCGTGTATATATATATATATATTATACACCAATATGTGCGGTATGCGTGCTGCATCGTACTGCTATTGTAAGATGTCTGATCTATGAGGTTCACAGTAGGCAACCAGTGGACCAAGGCTAGGGACTGTTGCACCATCCGCGATCAAACTCCCCAGGAAGTTGCTCTCGATGACACGCTGCCCCACCACAATCCATCACAGCGCTGTAGAGCAAATTCGCCTGCCGCGCCAACTTTGCGAACCTCGAGCTGGGATGATGACAGGGCTCTGGGCCAGTCTTGCACCGTGCTGGTAGGTGGTGAGTTCGAAGGTTTTTGATTGCGGAATATATTGGATTACTAACTTAGGCCCTTCAAACATAGAATCCCCAAGGAACTTCCCATGGCACACCAAGGCGCTGGGAAGTGGGGTAGCCCTGCAGCCACTGATCTGGAGGAAGAATGGAGCCAACAGGTGGACAAAGCCCTGGCAGGTCAGCAGATGGATATGGGCCATTCTGGGGATGGTTTCAATAAGATTAAAACCTATGACTCATAGGACTTTTAATATCCATAGATATTCATATAGGATATATGATATATTATATTGTAGTGTTTAAAACCTATGATTCCATATTTGTGGCAAATGAACATCTATGTTCCAGCTATTTTGATATCCAGCAAGGTACCAACGTTTTGACCCATGGCCATCTAGAAACATGGGAAGCTTCTCCAAGCACTTTCCAGATACAGTACACCACCGATCAACCTTGTTGCTGCTGTATCTTCCAGCTTTCCCTTGCATACCTTGGTTTGCTGAAAATGCGCTCATCCCCCACAAAGAAACAAAACATATATCATATATCCCACGAGCCTCCCGAAAAACAAAAAAACCTGGTGGGTTAACTAATAACTAATACATCACAACAATATATCAACCTTACTATTACGTAAGTGAACATTGAGACATTGATCAACAATTACCCTATATATTGTTATTTGACGGCGCTATTTGGCGGCGCTATTTGACGGCGCTATTTGACGGCGCTATTTGATGGCGCTATACATATCATCAACTTCACAATGGAAAATGGGTCAACAATTACCTCAGCAACGGCCGGATGCTTCAGAATGCTGTGATTCATCCAGGTCCCTGGTCCCCGCCAAAACGGCGAGTCCACAGAAGCGCCCTCGAGCTCACACTCTACACCGATCTCCAGCACCGCGGCTTTGGCAGGGAGGAAGATCATGTTGGTAAGGTCTGCGCCGTGGACGCCCACCATCAACATGACATTATGGAGCACCCCCACCTTTTCGTGAAAGGAGGGGAATTACCAATGGCCACAACTAGCAACAGGAATGATCATAATAAAACATCATCCCAATAGACTCCCTAAATGGTGGATTCAACCAATGGGATTAAAACGAACATTGGCTCAGCAAATCCAGGGAATGAGTCACTGGTTGGCTCGTCATCTCAACCGATCATCCCGAGAATGGTCCAAAAAAGCAATACCAGGTAACGTCAATCCCCAGATCAATAAACCCCTTGGTGTCCTTTGGTTGGTTTAATTGGGGATGGTTGGCTACTAGAAGAGTAGCTACCAATTGAACAGTCCAATGAATCCGGGGTGGACATGATTATGGATCAAACATGATCAACACCTATGAAATACCATATGACTGAGGGATGGGCATCCATGAATCCGAAGTATCTGGGGGTAAACAGAAGGGTACCAGGGTTTTGATCCATAGGCAAATACAGGGGGGGAGCGAAAAGAAACCATGGTAGCTGTGGAACAATGGTATGACAGGAAGAACAAAAAACAGCAACACAAGAATAACGAAAACAAAAAGAAACATGACATATTTTGTGGGTAATCATATGAAGAAGAAAGGAACAAATAGTAGTAATGAGAAAAATGAAAAACACATTTTCTTTTAATACCAAAAACACCAAGGAGGAGAAAACAAAAAAACACAACAAATGGGCAGCATCCCCACATCATCAGAGACCCCCATTACTTCACAGTCTCTTGAGCACAGTGGAGAAACACCCACCTGCTCGCAAGGAGTCAACCGCCCCAGATTCGCTGTCACGAAGGTGGCACCCACCGAGACGGCCAAAGCCTTGAAATGCGCAATGACTTGAGCCTCGTCCTTCCAACGTCGGCTGAAGGATTCCTGGTTTGCAAAGCAAAATGTGAACTAGGGATCACTGGGATGATGTTAGGATCATGTTGATGTATGATTATGTGTAGATCTGAATGGATATCACATCATCATCTATTTTCTTTTCACTCAGCTGATGCTAGCATAAAATCATGGTATCGATCGTGACACATTATTTCCGAGAAAAAAACGTAAGTTAAATTCAATCTAACTGGATGGATATTCAATCTATTTGGATGCAATGTTTTTCCTTTTTTCCCTTTCTAGTCGGCCTCCCATTCTTGGAACCCCTGGATCGGAAACCTGGGAGCATTGCCGCGGGTACCCATAGCAGCAATGCCCCAGGTTTCGTAACCAGGTTTGCCCGAGCAGGCGCTTTAGCCCATGTGCCCTGCTCCCATATGCCACCTGCATTTATTGCTACAGGCAGCACGTTGGCCCCAAGGCAACGGTTCCAGCCCCACACCCGGCCAACGGTGTGATCCCTTCAAGGGGATTCGGTGGGGCGAATGGTTGCAACAACAATTAACAGCAGCAAACTTTTAGATTTATATTTAAGCCTTCCCAGGCATTGAGCCTTCCCAGGCTTTGAGCCTTGCAAAATGCACATGGATGCTGGAGCCAATTACCCCAGGAATACCAAAGATGTATCCACGCAAGTTCAATGAAAATTGAAACGCAAGCATTGTCCCACATGGAACTGAGATGCAAGATGCTTGATGCAACGCCAATGAGAAAAGGACAACTTTGCCCAAAGAAAAACGCCAAGCTTGGAATACATCCAAAGATATGAACGCTGGACCATGCCGACCCAAAAACAACCTGCTCTGCAAAGGTTTGGATCAAAATGATGTGATGAGTTTCACATGGCTGCATCCAATTCAAATCGGTAGAAACAAAAACTAAGACTGCTAACATGGTAAAGTAAACACCAGTGCAAGTCAAAATCGGCTGATGTGGATATAATCTGCTAATGAATAGCTCAAACTCAATAGATGGAAACAACGATGCAGTCTTATGGGCCCACCAGCACTCCTTTTTTCCCTTCGGGACCAAACTGATTCAATCCATGAAGCCAACGCTGAGAAAGCCTTTACGGCAGCCCAATCAGCCCACATGACTGCAAAGGCAAAATCCAGTGTTCAACTGGCTATCCATGCTCAACTGGATCTATTTCATGAGACAGGCGCATAAGCGAATAGGCAAGCCCATTGAAAAACAATTTCAATGAGGTAGGCCATCAGCAGAAAAAAAGAAGCAATGAGCAGCATGGGAGCAGTGATTTTATTTTTTGGCAGCATGGGAGCAATGATTGGTTTTTGGAATCATGGGAGCAGTGATTAGTCTTTGAAGCATGGGAGCAGTGATTGGTTTTTGGAAGCATGGGAACAGTGATGGGTTTTTGGCAGCATGGGAGCAGTGATTGGTTTTTGGCAGCATGGGAATAATTAACAATTAAGTAATTTATGTCAAGTTTGGATTAATCAACCCCCTGGGATAATTAATACCTATGGATTAATATCCCGCACCAAGCAGCACGGGATGGCAGTGATGGCGTTACCTGCTTACACAACTTCCTGTTTTTTTTTTTGCTTGCCCTAACCCCCCCATTCCTAGTTTTTCTCTGTTTTTTGGAATCCAGCTAGATCGAATATCCATCCAGTTAGATTGAATTTAACATACGTGCATTTCTGTGAATTGCTGATTGATGCTATAATATAAACATGATGGCATTAAGGAAGGACAAAGCACAGATGGGCCACATCAACCAACAATGCATCCAGGGCAATGGTGGTTGAGCCACCAATTTATGCAACTTCCATGTATGATAAATAGAATTAAATAGAATAGAAGCTGTTCCAAAGCTTGGCAAGATTCTCTCTTCAGCAGCAGTATCTTCTTTTGCATGCCATCATCTGGGATCTTACATCTTTTCATAGCACTTTGTCGGAAGGATTGGATCTCTTGGACCTCGGCTGGTGGTTTCCACTTCTTTGTTGCTTTCAGGCAAATTCTCGCTTGGGCTTGCCTCACAAATCTTGTGAAAAACCTGGTGCTCTTAACCCTTAAGCTTTCAAACAACTGTGAGGCAAATGGTTTCGAGCCTGTGGATGTCATCTTGGGTTTTAGTGAGTTGCAAGTATCGACAAAAACGACAAAACACAAATAATGTGTCACCCTGCGCGCGCTCTTGCGGCAATTCGGGCCCTAAATTGGGTAAATGACAATCCCTTTAGAGTGTCCTCTGGCGTCATTCTCTTGGATTTGCTTGAAGGTTCCCCAAGTAGTGGACTTCCCAACGTGAAAATCAACAATCACCGACTTAGAAAATCCAGATTATCCCCAACAAACTTTATTGGTTACCTTATGAAATCCCAATGGTTTTTCCCCCCAAGCGCAGAATCGCTAACACGGCACGTCCCCGGCCCAGGGGCGCCAGCGTTGCAGCAAGACCTCGAAGCACACGGGGTGATCCAAGGACGGCTCCCCAGCGTTCCACGTGGCAAGCGCCGGGAAGTGATCCTGGGAAAGGTTGGCCGGGTGCAGGTAGAGGTGGCGTTATATATGGGATTTAAATGGGTTTAATGAGACTCATAGGATTTGGGATTTAACTGGGATTGAATGGGAATTAACAGGATTATAATTTTTCTCTCCATCGCTGTCAGGTCACCCTGCCGTAGGTGTGCTACAGAATTGTAATTGGATGGTGATTTAATTGGATTTTATGAGGAGTTTCCTCTGTCTCTTCATCGCGATCAGGTCACCCGGTCACCCTGCTTACCCTCGGTAATCAAACATGGCTGGCTGGGAAAATCATCGAACTATATATATGAGGATTTCCGTTGCCATATCTGACTACCGGAGGGTAAGCTTGCACTAAATATGCGGTAAACACTATGAAACAATATGAAACACTCTTCAAAAAAAATAAACTGTAAACATATGTTGAATTTGCTCAAGAACTCTTGGAAAACATTGGAAAATGGAAACAATGAAAAGAAAGTTCATTCTCCGCACATTTTCCAACCCAGTGAGATGTGCATCCATGGTGGGGACTGAGTGATAAACTTCTACTTCGCTGGGGAGAATCTTAAGCCTGAGACAATTGGTGCTATGGTATTGGGTTTACTTAGTAAACTTCCTGGATAGCCCTGACTATAGTCTAAGTCAGGAGTATTCAAGCTATGGGCTAATCCTGCCAACACGCTGCCCCCCAAACGTAAAAGGGTTCCCTTGTGTTCTTCTTTGTTTGAATCTGAAGATCTTTGCTCAACATCCTCAAACCTTGACATCGTCTTAGTATGTCTTAGTCTACATGCCGAGATTCTAAGGCCACTTCTTCCATCAAGGCCTCCATTTCAAAGAGATGCTGCTCGTCCAAAGTGCGGCTCTTAGCACACTGGCCGTTCTCAATACACTCCGTGGCTGCCAGTTTGGTCAGGACCCGCTCAGTCAACCGCTGAGGGAACCCCAAAGCTTCCAAGGTCTCGTTTCGTTGCAGAAGGCCGTGAAGCCATAGAGAATCTCGGGCGAAGTGGGCAATGTTGCTGCCTCAGCTTGGGACAGGCCGTCCTTACAAACTGGCGTTTTGCAGTATTCCACTATGCTTTTCCTTCACACAAAAACTGCCCCACCACCCTTTGTGCATCTCAGTTACTTTGCGGTGTATAACATTTTATAACCTGTATATTATTTAAACACGTCCAATCTAACGGTGACGATCCATGTATTAACTGGGTTCATTTACATTATCCACGGTGGACCCAGTGGACCATGGGCCCCAAGATCCCCCCCCATCCTGCTGCCCTGCCACGCATCTCACCGGTGAGAATACCCAGGCCGCGCCACTCCACGTTGCGGCCGTCGCGGCAACATGCTTTGGCGAAGTCCATGTCCGGGCGGCAGGGGTGGGCGCCACAGAAACAGGCCCCAGCTGGGGAGGTCTGGAGCTGACATGGAAGCCTTGGCTGAAGTGGGATGTGTCCTGAATAGCATGGCCTTTACATGACTAGAAACAAAAGAAGGTCACAAACAAATCTCAAGAGGTACAGTATGAAATTGATCTCAGGGTGATCGCTCCACTTGATCAATTGTACATATAGATACATATATAGTAATTTTCAATTGGTATACTGTTCGGATCACCCGTGCCACTGTTGCAAATTCCCTTTGCACTTTCCGCATGCTTTGATGACAAAGACAACCCTGCTTGGCAGTCGAGCAACATTAACTCCAACCCATATGTCTCAAGTTTGTGAAAACCTGAAGGCAGAGTCCATTTTCAGTGGTGACTGACTTGCAGACTCAACAGGGCTGATGGCCTGCTTGGTTTCATGTATTTTTCCTCATGTTCCCCAGAAGTGAGTGCTATCGTTTGTGTACTGAGCCAGAGCGGTATCCATTGGGATGCCAAAAGGCATTTTTTTTTCATTTTTAGTTTTTTTTTTTGTTTTTAGTTTTTTTTCTCTGTTATACTTGCGTTTCTGCTGTTGCAGCAATGTTTCTCCAAATTCAAGCTGATGACCGCTATGAACTCAATAGTCCAGGATCAGCAATTTCCTTCCTAAACGCTCATTCCTTAACTTCTCCATTTGTGGCAATTAGTTCCCCACCTGCCAGGTGAGGGTTGTTAGATTTTATCACAGTTGTTCTCCTCCTCCTCCTTCTCCTCCTCCTCCTCCTCTTCCTCCTCCTCCTCGTCCTCCACCTTCTTCTCCACCACCTCTGCATCCACTTCCATGTCCACTTTCGCCTTGCCAACTCTTCGCTCCGCGCGCAGTGTGCACTGCTGGACCTCAACTGCCGGCCTCTGATCTGCGTGGGCACGGCACGGCTGGACCTCAACCGCAAGTTTCTGAGCGCAGTGGGCACCGCTGGACCTCAACCAGGGACCTTCCGAGCCCAGTGGGCACCGCTGGACCCCAACCTGGGACCTTCAGAGCTCAGTGGGCACTGCTGGACCCTAACGGCCAGATAGAATGCCAGAAGATATGCCACATAGAATGCCAGAAAGAATGTCAGATAGAATGCCAGAAGATATGCCAGATAAAATGCCAGAAGATATGCCAGATAAAATGCCAGAAGATATGCCAGATAAAATGCCAGAAGATATGCCAGATAGAATGCCAGAAGGTATGCCAGATAAAATGCCAGAATGTTTGCCAGATAGAATGCCAGAAGATTTGCCAGATAGAATGCCAGTTAGAATGTCAGAAGATATGCCAGATAGGATGCCAGAAGATATGCCAGAAGATATGCCAGATAGAATGCCAGCTAGAATGTCAGAAGATATGCCAGGAGATAAGCCAGATAGAGTGCCAGAAGATATGCCAGAACATATGCCAGAAGATATGCCAGGTAGAATGCCAGAAGATATGCCAGAAGGTACGCCAGGTAAAGTGCCAGAATGTTTGCCAGATAGAAAGCCAGTTAGAATGTCAGAAGATATGCCAGAAGATAAGCCAGATAGAGCGCCAGAAGATATGCCAGAACATACTGCAGAAGATATGCCAGGTAGAATGCCAGAAGATATGCCAGATAGAATGCCAGAAGATATGCCAGATAAAATGTCAGAAGATATGTCAGATAGAATGCCAGAAGATTTGCCAGTAACAAACCGTATAAATGTCATGGTGGGGAAAACTCGAAGTAAAGTACTGTAATTAATTTTTGTTATTTTTGTTTTGCCTAAAATAGTTAATTCTGCTACTTTTACAATTATCGCACCTGATCAAACCTTTTCTTGATTAAATTTTATACAGATTGAACTCCAAAATTGCATGAAAACTTTCAAACACCTTCGCAATTTTGCATGCAAACCTTCAACCCCCTGCATGGGCGTGCATCTGCATGCAAATTTTCAACCCACCTGGCAAAATTGGACCGGAACTTTAAACCACCAACTGTGCTGTGCAAATGCTGCGGAAGTTTGCAGGCTAACTTTCAGGCCTGATCCCCAGTTTGCACGCGAGCTTGCAGCCCTACCCCCGAAAGTTTGCACTCAAACTTGCAACCGCCCCTCGCAAGTTTGCATGCAAACTTGCATGCCTGCAGGCAAAAGTTTGCATGCAAACTTCCAATCCCCCCTCGCAAGTTTGCACGCAACCTCTTGGAAGTTTGCAGGCAAACTTTCACTGCCTTGTGCGGAATGAGCTCAAAAAGCACCTTAAGAACCAAAGAACTACCTTTAAAAAACATATTAAACCATCTTCAGTAGTATCTGTGTCATCAGGTGGGATGTCAGGGCAGGGCAGCCAGCCTTATCATTTGGACAAGGCCTAAGCTCAATTAAAACCAACTGTTCGATCTCCGCCGCCGTTTTGTCCTTAGATGGCAAAAATACCAAATAATCACCACAAAGGCACATGCACATGTAAAAGCATTCACATACGCGCACATACACATACACACTCTTACGCACTTGCACAGAAAACCACACACACACACGAAACCACAATGGCATGAACTTGGGCTAAAGTCCATGACATGGCACCAAAGGCCGGGAGAAAGACTGCAAAAGATAAGTCTGCTGCTCGCAGTGCCGGCAGCGCGTGCAGGACCTTGATCAATCCATGCGGGGTTTATGTGCCCGGATACTCCAGGATCATCAGCACCCGCTGCTACTGGAGCTGCTTCTGCTTCTGCTGCTACTGGCTCGCACCCAGCACACCAGAGCAGCGGCTGAGCAGCAAACAGCACAGGTCCAGTTATTTCCATGCCACCTCCAAAGTTCATGCGCTCACCTGCATGATTTGTGGTCAAACCGTGAAAAGTGGCTTCCAAGCGCTTTTAAAAGCACCTCTGGCCGGTGCAAGCAATCTTGGGGGATCCTGCTCCGGTCACAGTCAATGTCCTCACCGATGTGGCCGCCCATGGGGCTTAGAACGCACGGTGGCAAAGCTGTGGAAGCGCTAGAGCTGTAAGGACATGGAAGAAGGGGTCGTGAAAAGGCCCTTGACAAGTGTTGTGTGAACCGACTGGCCCTGATCTCAAAGAAGATTTTGTAAAAGAAAACATCGTTGCCGATCCACTGTCGATTTGTTCCAGCATGCGAAGAGCGCATGCGAAGAATAAAAGCACGCTAACATGGAGGGACCTGAGTGGCATCCAGCTATATTGAAGCGGTGCCAGGTTGACAAGCCAAATTTCATCAACAGGTTAACAGGTTGCAGAAAAAAGGCAGTTTGCTGAAAGTGGGCAGGTTAGAAGGGCTGGTCAGCCACAACGGTGGGCAGACACGATCACTGTCGCTTATTCCCAAGCGGGCTTGCTGTCTCACATTCCGAAGATGTGGAGGAAGGGCAGGCCGCAGGGTCTGGGAAGAGGGTGGTCGGCTTCCTTATATCTGCAAAACTTGACGATCTGGGGGGGCAAGATTTCCGCTCCCCCCGTTGGTCAAGTAACGTCTGAAACTAGACGATCTCTATGGTAGATCAGCTATACTTGACGATCTAGGGGTGCAGGATTCCCGCCCCCCCCGTTGGTCAAGTTTTGGGGTTGTCATGGTGAGATGGTCAAGTAACGTCTGTAACTAGACGATCTGGGGGGGCAGGATTCCCGCCCCCCCCGTTAGTCAAGATCTGGGGTTTCACCGTTTTTTTGGTAATTGGTTTTGATTTACCTTTCTCTTTCCCATGCTGTCTCCTCTAGGCCCCACTGGACTAAACGTGCCTTTTCCCGCAGTAAATCAAGTCTCTTGACATGTTCTCACATGTTCTTCCCTCTGTCCGTGATGTTCAAAGCCTACTCATTGATCGAGTAGGTTAAACCACGCAAATACAAGCAATTCCTTCATGTCCACAGCCGAGTGCTTACAATTACTTTACTTTCCCCACCATGACATTTCTACGTTTTGTTACTGGCAAATCTTTTGGCATTCTATCTGACATATCTTCTGGCATTTTATCTGGCATATCTTCTGCAGTATGTTCTGGCATATCTTCTGGCATTCTACCTGGCATATCTTCTGCAATATGTTCTGGCATATCTTCTGGCACTCTATCTGGCATATCTTCTGGCATATCTTCTGACATTCTAACTGGCTTTCTATCTGGCAAATCTTCTGGCATTCTACCTGGCGTACCTTCTGGCATTCTATCTGGCATATCTTCTGGCATTCTATCTGACATTCTATCTCGCATACCTTCTGGCATTCTATCTGGCATTTTATCTGGCATTCTATCTGGCATATCTTCTGGCATTCTACCTGGCATATCTTCTGCAATATGTTCTGGCATATCTTCTGGCACCCTATCTGGCATATCTTCTGGCATATCTTCTGACATTCTATCTGGTATTGTATCTGGCAAATCTTCTGGCGTTCTATCTGGCAAACATTCTGGCACTTTATCTGGCATTCTATCTGGCATACCTTCTGGCATTCTATCTAGCATATCTTCTGGCATTTTATCTGGCATATCTTCTGGCATTCTATCTGGCCGTTGAGGTCCAGCAGTGCCCACTGAGCTCGGAAGGTCCCAGGTTGAGGTCCAGTGGTGCGCACTGAGCTCTGAAGGTCCCAGGTGCCCACTGGGCTCCGAATGTCCCTGGTTGAGGTCCAGCGGTGCCCACTGCGCTCAGAAACTTGCGGTTGAGGTCCAGCCGTGCCCACTCAGATCAGAGGCCGGCAGTTGAGGTCCAGCAGTGCACACTGCGCGCGGAGCGAAGAGTTGGCAAGGCGAAAGTGGACATGGAAGTGGATGCAGAGGTGGTGGAGAAGAAGGTGGAGCACGAGGAGGAGGAGGAAGAGGAGGAGAAGAAGGAGGAGGAAAACAACTGTGATAAAATCTTGCAGCCCTCAACATCAAAATCCAAGCTCAGCTATGAAGCAGCATTCACAAAAAACTGTCATTTACATACCTTCGTTATCTGATAAATCACCTGCATCACACTCACTCTCGCTTGCCCGGTTCAGTCTTCAAATTGATAATTTGAAGGCTGGATCGTGGAAGAAGGTGCCAGCCCCTAGCAATGATGGCAGGCATGGAAGAGGAAGATGAAAAGATGGACACAGAGACAAATTTGGCGCAAAGACGAAGCAGTATTATGGTAGAAGCTACTGCCGATGCAGCGCTCCGACAGCAGCCGTTGGGCATGCATTCATAAAATGTCCAGCTGGCTTTGCTCCATGTCACTGACCCCTCTAAAACTATCATGAAGGCCTTGTCCGATATCTTCAAGATTTCAAGCCTATACAGGGTAACGCTGTCCGGTCAAACGGACCCCGAAAGACCAGGTTAGGCCAATTCCAGCCGAATATATAGTTTATACCGTACCCGATTCCGAAACTGGCGACACAAATAACAAATTTGGTCAGGTAACGGCTCTTTTTTATACAAATGTTCTTTGGCTGTTAAAAAAATGTTCGGGTAATTCGAGACGTTAGCTGTGAAAGTTTGCATGCAAACTTGCGAGGAGGGGTTGACAGTTTGAGTGCAAGCTTTCGGGGGGGCTGCAAGTTTGCGCGCAAACTTGCGAGCAGGCCTGAAGATTTGCATGCAAATTTGCGCGTTTGCAAAGCACAGTCGCGGGTTGAAAGTTTATTTGCGAATTTGCCAGGTGGGTTGGAAGTATGCAAGCAAACTTGCGAGGAGGGTCGAAAATTTGCATGCAAACTTAGAGTTCAAGTTACTAGGCATTTAGGTTCAAGTACGGCTGGTAGCAGAAATAGTTTTCGTACGCAAAACCCCAATTCTCTTAGAAACGAGAAAGATAAGACCACCAAAAACTCTCCGCAGCGACAAAAAACTTGTTAAGTGACTCTCTGCCTTTTCCAGGGTAATTTTTCAGCTCATTCGACTGATTGGCAATGAAAGTTTGCATGCAAACTTCCGAAGGGGGGTTGCAAGGTTGCAAGTTAACTTGCGAGGGGGGGAGTGGAAGTAGCAGGTGTGAAAGTCTGCATGCAAACTTATGAGGGGCGGTTGAAAGTTTGAGTGCAAATTTCTGGGGAGGGGTTGCAAGGTCGCGTGCAAACCTGGGATCAGGCCTGAAAGTTAAACTCCAAACTTCCGCAGCGTTTGCACAGCACAGTTGGGGGGTTAAAGTTCTGGCCCAATTTTGCCAGGTGGGTTGAAAATGTTCATGCAAATGCATGCCCAGGGGGGTTGAAAGCTTGCATGCAAAATTAAGAGGGAGGTTGAAAGTTGTCATGCAGTTTTGGAGTTCAACCTATATAAAATTCAAAGAAGCAAAGGTTTGATCAGGCGCGATAATTCTACAGGTAGCAGAATTAACTATTTTAGGCAAAACAAAAATTAACTAGTTGCCACAAGTGGAGAAGTTAAGGAATGAGCGTTTAGGCAGGAAATTGCTGATCCTGGGCTATTGAGTTAATAGCGGTCATCAGTTTGAATTTGGAGAAACATTGCCTTACCAGCAAAAACGCAAGTATAACAGAGGAAAAAAAAACAAAAAACAAAAAAAAACTAAAAATGAAAAAATGCCTTCCAAGGGGTGATCAGTTTGGGTCCTGCTGCAATTGCTGTCATGTTGAAAAATCGTGCAGTGTGGAGGAGCAAGTGCAAAACACCCATGGAGTGACTAAAGAATTTCAGCCCCAACTGGCTTCGTCTGGAAACAGTGGAACTTCAAATCCAGGGGGGGTTATGTTTTCCCAGATTAAGTTCACCATTCAGGGTATACTTCCCCCCTGTCATGCTTTAAGTACATCACCAGTTCCAAGGATCATACCCTTTGCAACATGCACCTAATATGTTGTAAACTTAACAGCAACAAACAATGAACCTCCAATTCGAGAGGCTTCAAACCACCCATTTCCCGGTGAAAAAAATATAGAACCCGGGACCCGTTTCACATTGTTTATTTCAATTGTGGTAAATTTGGGGATGGTGGATCCGCTTTACGAACTGCTCAACTGGGGAGTGGCCATACCTGGCCTCTCACCGGGCCCTGGCTGGGAATGGTCGCCCTTCGACCCACCAGCGACGTCATCTCCTCCACCTCCAGGCCCTGGCCGCAGAGCGCCCCGGCCGCGGTCGCCAGCGCCACGCCGTCGTCCGGGCGCCGCAGCGAGGCGTCGCTGCCCAGGAGGAACCAGGGGACTTCGGTTTCGTGGCCCACGCAGGCGTTCCTCGCATGTTTGAATTGGAGAAACTGTAGAGGATAAGACAGAACATCAAAAAATCATATATACATATATATATATATTATAACAAAAATAGAGAGTGTAACGCCACCAGATCCCCAAAAAAACGTGGTTTTGAGTGTTTCTGTTGAATATTTGCTGTTTTTTCCCGAGCGCGCCTGCGAAGGGTTCTTCGTAAAGAAGCAGCCGTTGTAGTACATTTTCACACCCTCACATCTGCTGATCTACATCTTCACACCTTCACATCTGCTGATCTACATCTTCACAGCTTCACATCTGCTGATCTACATCTTCACACCCTCACATCTGCTGATCTATATCTTCACACCGTCACATCTGCAGATCTACATCTTCACACCTTTACATCTGCTGATCTACATCTTCACACCATCATATCTGCAGATCTACATCTTCACACCTTCACATCTGCTGATCTACACCTTCACACCTTCACATCTGCAGATCTACATCTTCACACCTTCACAGGAAGGACCTTCACATCTGCTGATCTACATCTTCACACCGTCACATCTGCAGATCTACATCTTCACATCCTCACATCTGCTGATCTACATCTTCACACCTTCATATCTGCTGATCTACATCTTCACACCGTCACATCTGCAGATCTACATCTTCACACCTTCACATCTGCAGATCTACATCTTCACACCTTCACATCTGCAGATCTACATCTTCACACCTTCACATCTGCAGATCTACATCTTCACACCTTCACATCTGCAGATCTACATCTTCGCACCTTCACATCTGCTGATCTACATCTTCACACCGTCACATCTGCAGATCTACATCTTCACACCTTCACATCTGCTGATCTACATCTTCACACCTTCACATCTGCAGATCTACATCTACACACCGTCACATCTGCAGATCTACATCTTCACACCTTCACATCTGCTGATCTACATCTTCACACCGTCACATCTGCAGATCTACATCTTCACACCTTCACAGCTGCTGATCTACATCTTCACACCGTCACATCTGCAGATCTACATCCTCACACCTTCACATCTGCAGATCTAAATCTTCACACCCTCACATCTGCTGATCTACATCTTCACACCTGCACATCTGCTGATCTACATCTTCACACCTTCACATCTGCAGATCTACATCTTCACACCTTCACATCTGCTGATCTACATCTTCACACCTTCACATCTGCAGATCTACATCTTCACACCTTCACATCTGCTGATCTACATCTTCACACCTTCACATCTGCAGATCTACATCTACACACCTTCACATCTGCAGATCTACATCTTCACACCTTCACATCTGCAGATCTACATCTTCACACCTTCACATCTGCAGATCTACATCTTCACACCTTCACATCTGCTGATCTACATCTTGACACCCTCACATCTGCAGATCTACATCTTCACACCTTCACATCTGCAGATCTACATCTTCACACCTTCACATCTGCAGACCTACATCTTCACACCTTCACATCTGCAGATCTACATCTTCACATCCTCACATCTGCTGATCTACATCTTCACACCTTCACATCTGCGGATCTTCTCTCGCTCTTTTTTCTATCTCTCTCTTAAGGCGGGGGCGGAGCCGCCGGAGCGCCACGAAACGCAATTCTTTCGCACGAAATGAGGTTCGATCACCAAAAACTGCAGTAAAATTGCGATTTCAGGGGTCCGGTCTCTGTGTGTGAAAGTGTTTGTGTGTAAAAGCTTCTGTGTCTCTGTGTAAAGGCGTCTGCGTGTAACAGCCTGTGTGTGTAAGAGTGCCTAGTGTCTGTGTGTAAAACCTTCTGTGTGTAAAAGTCTCTGTGTGTGAAAGTGTTGGTGTGTAAAAGCTTCTGTGTGTAAAAGCGTCTGTGTGTAAAAGTGTCTGTGTGTGAAAGTGCTGGTGTGTAAAAGCTTCTGTGTGCAAAAGCGTCTGTGTAAAAGCGTCTGTGTGTAAAAGTGTCTGTGTGTAAAAGCGTCTGTATGTAAAGGAGTCTCTGTGTAAAAGGGTCTGTGTGTAAAAGCGTCTGTGTGGAAAAGCTTCTGTGTGTAAAAGCGTCTGTGTGTAAAGGAGTCTGTGTGTAAAAGCTTCTGTGTGTAAAAGCCTCTGTGTGTAAAAGCTTCTGTGTGTAAAGGAGTCTGTGTGTAAAAGTGTCTGTGTGTGAAAGCTTCTATGTGTAAAAGCGTCTGTGTGTAAAGGAGTCTGTGTGTAAAAGCTTCTGTGTGTAAAAGCGTCTGTGTGTAAAAGCGATTGTGTGTAAAAGCTTCTGTGTGTAAAAGTCTCTGTGTAAGCGTCTGTGTGTAAAAGCCTCTGTGTGTGAAAGTGTGTGTGTGTGTGTTACAGAAAAGCATGTGTGTGTGTAAAAGCTTCTGTGGGTGAAAGTGTCTGTGTGTAAAAGTGTCTGTGTGTAAAAGCGTCTGTGTGTAAAAGCGTCTGTGTGTAAAAGCCTCCGTGTGTAAAAGCGTCTGTGTGTAAAAGCGTCTGTGTAAATGCGTCTGTGTGTAAAAGTGTCTGTGTGTAAAAGTGTCTGCATGTGAAAGTGTTTGCGTGTAAAAGTGTCTGCGTGTAAAAGTGTCTGTGTGTAAAGGCGTCTGTGTGCAAAAGCGTCTGTGTGTAAAAGCGTCTGTGTGTAAAAGCTTCTGTGTGTAAAAGCGTCTGTGTGTAAAGGAGACTGTGTGTAAAAGATTCTGTGTGTAAAAGCGTCTGCGTGTAAAAGCGTTTGTGTGTAAAAGCGTCTATGTGTAAAAGTCTCTGTGCAAGCGTCTTTGTGTAAAAGCCTCTGTGTGTGAAAGCTTCTGTGTGTAAAAGTCTCTGTGAAAGCGTCTGTGTGTGAAAGTGTTTGTGTGTGAAAGCGTCTGTGTGTAAAAGCGCCTGTGTGTCTGTGTGTAAAAGCTTCTGTGTGTAAAAGCGTCTGTGTGTAAAGGAGTCTGTGTGTAAAAGCGTCTGTGTGTAAAAGCGTTTGTGTGTAAAAGCGTCTGTGTGTAAAAGTCTCTGTGTAAGCGTCTGTGTGTAAAAGCCTCTGTGTGTGAAAGTGTGTGTGTGTGTTACAGAAAAGCGTGTGTCTGTAAAAGCTTCTGTGGGTAAAAGTGTCTGTGTGTAAAAGCGTCTGTGTGTAAAAGTGTCTGTGTGTAAAAATGTCTGTGTGTAAAAGCGTCTGTGTGTAAAAGGGTCTGTGTGTAAAAGCGTCTGTGTGTAAAAGCGTCTGTGTGTAAAAGCATCTGCGTGTAAAAGCGTCAGTGTGTAAAAGTGTCTGTGTGTAACAGCGTCTGTGTGTAAAAGCTTCTGTGTGTAAAAGCGTCTGTGCGTAAAAGCGTCTGTGTGTAAAAGCTTCTGTGTGTAAAAGCGTCTGTGTGTAAAAGCGTCTGTGTGTAAAAGCTTCTGTGTGTAAAAGCGTCTGTGTGTAAAGGCGTCTGTGTGTAAAAGCTTCTGTGGGTAAAACTGTGTGTAAAAGCCTCTGTGTGTGAAAGTGTTTGTGTGTAAGAGCGTCTGCGTGTAAAAGCGTCTGTGTGTAAAAGCTTCTATGTGTAAAAGCGTCTGTGTGTAAAAGCTTCTGTGTGTGTAAAAGCTTCTGTGTGTAAAAGCGTCTGTGTGTAAAAGCCTCTGTGTGTAAAAGCTTCTGTGTGTAAAAGTCTCTGTGTAAGCGTCTGTGTGTAAAAGCCTCTGTGTGTGAAAGTGTGTGTGTTACAGAAAAGCGTGTGTGTGTGTGTAAAAGCTTCTGTGGGTAAAAGCTTCTGTGTGTAAAAGCGCCTGTGTGTAAAGGAGTCTGTGTGTAAAAGCGTCTGTGTGTAAAAGCTTTTGCGTGTAAAAGCGTCTGTGTGTAAAGGAGTCTGTGTTTAAAAGCTTCTGTGTGTAAAAGCGTTTGTGTGTAAAAGCATCTGTGTGTAAAAGCGTCTGTGTGTAAAAGCTTCTGTGTGTGTGAAAATATGTGTGGGTGTGTGAAAGAAGAGCGTGTGTCTGTAAAATCTTTTGTGGGGTAAAGGGTCTGTGTGTCAAAGTGTCTGTGTGTAAAAGCTTCTGTGTGTAAAAGCGTCTGTGTGTAAGAGTCTCTGTGTTTGAAAGTGTGTGTGTGTGCGTGTATAAAAGAAAAGTGTGTGCGCGTGTGCGTGTGTAAAAGCGTCTGTGGGTAAAAGTGTCTGTGTGTAAAAGCGTTTGTGTGTAAAAGCTTCTGTGTGTAAAAGTCTCTGTGTGTGAAAGCTTCTGTGTGTAAAAGCTTCTGTGTGTAAAAGCGTCTGTGTGTAAAGGAGTCTATGTGTAAAAGCTTCTGTGTGTAAAAGCCTCTGTGTGTAAAAGCTTCTGTGTGTAAAGGAGTCTGTGTGTAAAAGTGTCTGTGTGTGAAAGCGTCTGCGTGTAAAGCTTCTGTGTGTAAAAATGTCTGTGTGTAAAAGCGTCTGTGTGTAAAAGCATGTGCGTGTAAAAGCGTGTGTGTGTAAAAGCCTCTGTGTGTAGAAGTGTCTGTGTGTAAAAGCCTCTGTGTGTGAAAGTGTGTGTGTGCGTAACATCTAAATAGATGTAAAACTTGTTCCCTTTCTCTTCCTCTCCCTTTCTAAAAACGCAGGGGGATGAGGGTCTCTTGGTGTGCCTCATCTAACAAAGACCGCACCAAGTGGACGTGATATCAGTGCCCGGCCAGCACTGACGTACCTGCACCTTTGTATTCTTTACGCTGTTGGTTTATATGTCAATGACTCCTGTGATTTTTACTGACGTGCTCTTTATACTCTTAATGCTGTTGGTTTATATGTCAATGACTCCTGTGATTTATACTGACGTGGCACGGGGCTAAGCCAAGAACCCCAAAAAACAATCGCATTGCATGTTTCAGGACTCAGTTCCTGACGGATCTATTCAAAGATCCATTCTTGTCTAGTGTAATACCTATGGTGGCTCCAACAAGGTGCCATAGGGCCACTGGAGGCAACCCCTTTGCGGGTGACTGTTGACTGGTTTGACTTCCGAATTGACACACTTTAATTTGGTAATTCATCTAAGTAAAGTGAAACAGTTGGCCTTCGGTTATGCATCTTATTCACAAAGTCCCGCCGTTCTGGATGTCCCAGGGATCCTCGCCGAATGCATGTCTTTCATTGTGAAGCCGTTCGGAACTTCCAGAAACTTCCTTTTTTCGCTGCAGCTTCAGCTTTTGACAGTTTGATGCAACAGAAAAGGCAGGCACATGCTTTCCAGGTTTGGTGACTCTTTCTTTTGATGGTTCTTTGGTGAGGTCAAACATATTGTGCATCTAATTCGTTGGAACTCGTACAGCCGTTAAATGCCTTCGGGCACGGCCTGACCACGTTCCCGAAGGGGAGTAACGCACGACCTCTACGAAGGGAGGCAAAAAACAAAAAAAAATATATATATATATATAGACACACTATATTTTTTTCCCCACCTGCCAGGTGAGGGTTGTTAGATTTTATGTCAGTTGCCTGGTCCTCCTCCTCCTCCTCTCCTCTCCTCCTCCTCTCGTTGTCCTCCTCCTCTCGTTGTCCTCCTCCTCTCGTTGTCCTCCTCGTCCTCCTGCTCAACTGCGACTCGCGATCCACAGTGTTCTCTGTCGGACCTCAACCACGACCATCCACGCCCAGTGTTCCCTGCCGGACCTCAACCACGACCATCCACGCCCAGTGTTCCCTGCCGGACCTCAACCACGACCATCCACGCCCAGTGTTCTTTGCCGGACCTCAACCACGACCATCCACGCCCAGTGTTCCCTGCCGGACCTCAACCACGACCATCCACGCCCAGTGTTCCCTGCCGGACCTCAACCACGACCATCCACGCCCAGTGTTCCCTGCCGGACCTCAACCGCTAGTATCCACGCCAAAAGATATGCCACATAGAGTGCCAGAAGATATGCCAGATAGAATGTTAGAAGATATGCCAGATAGAATGCCAGAAGGTATGCCAGATAGAATGCCAGATAGAATGTCAGCTAGAATGCCAGAAGATATGCCAGATAAAGTGCCAGAATGTTTGCCCGATAGAATGCCAGCAGATTTGCCAGATAATATGCCAGAAGATATGCTAGATAGAATGCCAGATGGAATGCCAGAAGATTTGCCAGATAATATGCCAGATAGAATGCCAGATGGAATGCCAGAAGATATGCAAGAACATATGCCAGAAGATATGCCAGAAGATATGCCAGAACATCTGCCAGAAGATATGCCAGAACATCTGCCAGAAGATATGCCAGGTAGAATGCCAGAAGATATGCCAGATAGAATGCCAGATCGAATGCCAGAAAATATGTCAGATAGAATGCCAGAAGATTTGCCAGTAACAAAATGTATAAATGTCATGGTGGGGATCACACGAAGTAAAGTAATTTTCTCTCCTTCCTTCCTTTTCCCTGGGGACCTTGATGGCTCTCTGGACATCTCTGGCAACCTCGGGAAATCTAACAATATTTGGGGATCTCTAGCAATACCTTTAAGGTGGTTTCCAATGTGTTCAAGGATCCTTTCATGACATAAAGCAACATTATCTAATTAAAGGTATATGAACATAAATGATCAAGCATGATGTAGCAGAAACACTGCATTCCTAAAAACGTGGAAAAATGGGGACCTGACATCGTGCCTTTCTGTAGAAATAAAGAATATGATAATATATATAATAATAATAATAATATATAAAAAAATATCGGATAAATAACATATGTAATATATAAATACTTATAACACAAATAATGTGTAAAAAACAACGAATATATTATATTGTGAATAAATACAAAATATAAATCAAAATGTATATAATAAATGCAATATTGAACAATATATATATATATATATATTTATGAATAGGATTATTTAAAAAATATGAAACATATTTATTATATATTAAGACACAAATACAGACAATAATTTATATATATATATATATCAAATATAAAATAGATTTGAAATATCAATCGTAAATAAATCAAATATATGACACATCACAAATGTTAAAAACATATGTGATAAATATCAAAATATTTGACAAATAATTTTGGTATATATACAAAAATATGGTAATACTAAATAAATATATATATTTAAAAATAATACATATAGAGTGTAAAAATGAAACAACTATAATATATATATATTTACTTTTAGCTATAATTCTAGAGTTAAGATACACCAGGAAATATGTATATATATATATAATCCCATAGTTACCATAGTTCTGTTCTGATATAGGTATAGTATCATGGAGACAAAGTTTGTCTGCTTCAATGGTTCACCGTCGTCACATTCTCCAAAGAACCATGAAAAAGTATGGCGCTAAGAAAAATAAATATATTCGAACATATGTGAAGTGCAAAGGGGAAGTGTATCGGTCCTATGATTGTGTCTTTCTACATTGTTACATTACAACAAGTGGTAATTCCAACCACTAATTTGCGACACATTTCTGAATCATGACCCACCAACTTCTTCCATGAATCATCCTGGGAATCAGGATGTGTCTGAGTGTGTATGATTGTATGATATTGTATGTGTATCACTGTAAAACATTTTTGAACATACGAGTACGGGGGGTAACTTACGCTACAACCTATAATCTTACCCCACCGCGTGGCACACAGCTTACCCCACGACCTAAAGAACTTGTGCCATAGCCAAATCACCACGGCACACCGACACCTATCCATATATGTGCACATTGTTTTCATGAAATTCTTTTGCGGACGGCAACGTTTTGTATCGTTTTTTCCCCACCTGCCAGGTGAGGGTTGTTACTGTAGATTTTATCAGAGCTGTTCTCCTCCTTCTCCTCCGCCTCCTCACCCGCCGCCTCCTCCTCGCAGTCCAGATCCCAGTGGGCACAGCCGGACCTCCACCGCGAGCTCCAGATCCCAGTGGGCACTGCCGGACCTCAACCGCGAGTTGCAGATCGCAGTGGGCACTGCCGGACCTCAACCGGGACTTCCAGGTTGCAGTGGGCACTGCCGGACCTCAACCGCGAGCTCCAGATCCCAGTGGGCACTGCCGGACCTCAACAACGAGTTCCAGATCCCAGTGGGCACTGCCGGACCTCAACGGCCAGATAGAATGCCAGAAGATATGCCACATGGAATGTCAGATAGGATGCCAGAAGATATGCCAGATAGAATGCCAGAAGATATGCCAGATAGAATGCCAGAAGATATGTCAGATAGAATGCCAGAAGATATGCCAGATAGAATGCCAGATAGAATGCCAGAAGATATGTCAGATAGAATGCCAGAAGATATGCCAGATAGAATGCCAGAAGATTTGCCAGATAGAATGCCAGATAGAATGCCAGAGATATGTCAGAATATATGCCAGAACATATGCCAGATAGAATGCCAGATAGAATGCCAGAAGATATGTCAGAATATATGCCAGAAGATATGCCAGATAGAATGCCAGAAGATTTGCCAGATAGAATGCCAGAAGATATGCCAAAACATATGCCAGAAGATATGCCAGATAGAATGCCAGATAGAATGCCAGAAGATATGTCAGATAGAATGCCAGAAGATTTGCCAGTAAGAAAATGTATAAATGTCATGGTGGGGATCACACGAAGTAAAGTAATCTTTATCTGTCTTAAACCTGGCACAATGTAAACTACATGGCGCACCATCAATTTGACCTCTAGAATCCAGAAGACCAGGAATTCTACATGTCATTCTCATTGGCAGACTCCCATTCCTACCCTGGAAAAAATATACTCAAAAAACGCTTTTCCCAGTGGCACACCAGGAACATTCCAGCACTGAACAACACAGCACAATGGCACTGAGATATTCAAGGTACCGCTTGACAATGTTATTTTTACGAGATCCTTACGAGGTCTTTACGAGATCTGTGCGAGATCTGGGTTTTGCAAGGGAAGGCAGCAGGGAAAGGCAGCAGGGAAAGGCAGCAGGGCAAGGCACTCTACGCTGCTCTACTCCTCTCTATTCTTCCCTGCTGACCTCTCTACTCTTCTCTACTCTATTCTACTCTACTCTTAGTCTTCCCTACTGACCTCTCTACTCTTCTCTTCTCGGCTCTGCTCTAATCTTGTCTACTCTTCTAATGAGAAGCCATCCCCCAGTCGGAGTTTTTATCTCAAAAAGAATATGTCTCAAAAACATGTGTGCCCCTGCAAAGTGTTAGAAAAATCAATGCCACAAACAACTGATTCATCCAATAAGAATGACATGTATATCACGGACTTCCCAACGGCACACCGTTTGCGGCACAAGAAGACAAACCGCGGCACAAGTTACCACCCTGATCCTGTACATCGGTCCATGGTTTGCATGATAGTTGCAAAATCATGGAATATGAGCCAAATCATAGATTGTTAAGGCTATTCTCCCCTGATAATTACACACACATCATTCACACACACATATATATATAAATAAAAATAAATACATATATATATATATATATATCCAATTTTTATTTTCATTACATGGCAACTCAATTTCTGCTTGGTTCCAGTCCCAGAGGCGTTGCCACAAGCAGATCCAGTTCCGGAAAAATCTTCTGTCGCCCCACGCCTTTGGGCGCCTCCTCGATCCAGCGCTTCAGCGTCTGCTGAGCCCTGCAACGGGGCTGCTGTGGCTTAAAGCAACCCTCATGACTTCAAATGTCAAAACCATCTGACCTGTTTTAGTCGGAAAGAATGTATTATTTTTAGTTGGGTTATAATTGTTTTGTCTGCAAATGCTCAATCAACCAAAACGTCTTAATCCATGATTGCAATTACTGCTGAAACTTGAGAGGGGGGGGACGAAAGGTAGGGGGGAAAAGACAGGAGGGAGAGGCAAGAGAAGGTGCGACTGTTTGTAACGCAAGCACGCCGACGACGACGACGACGACTACTACTACTACTACTACGACTACTACTACTACTATGACGACTACTAGTACTAGTACTAGTACTAGTACTAGTACTACTACTACTACTACTACTACTACTACTACTACTACGACTACTACTACTACTATGACGACTACTAGTACTAGTACTAGTACTAGTACTAGTACTAGTACTAGTACTAGTACTAGTACCAGTACTAGTACTACTACTACTACTACTACTACTATGAGGACTACTACTACTACTACTACTACTACTACTACTACTACTACTACTACTATGAGGTCTACTACTACTACTACTATGAGGACTACTACTACGACGATGACGACGACGACTACTACTACTACGACGACGACTACTTCTACTACTACGACTACTACTACTATGACGACGACGACGACGACGACTACTACTACTACTACGGCTACTACTATTACGACGACGACTACTACTACTACTGCTACTACTACTACTACTACTACTAATACTACTACTACTACTACTACTATTACTATTACTATTACTATTCCTTCTACTACTACGACTGCTACTACTACTACTACTACTACTATTACTATTACTATTCCTTCTACTACTACGACTGCTACTACTGCTACTACTACTACTACTACTACTACCACTACCACTACCACTACCACTACCACTACCACTACCACTACCACTACCACTACCACTACCACTACCACTACTCCTACTACTACTACTACTACTACCACTACTACTACTACTACTACTACTACTACTACTACTACTACGACGCCCAGGCCCGTTACACTTTACATTCAATTGGGAAGATCAACAAGGGTATTAGGGA